CAACCCAAAACATTCTTCTAAAGTTCCCTACATGACATCATAATAGAGATACAATCAAAGATCATTACGTTTAATGAAAATCATAAGCATTGACAAAGCACTTGCAACTATGACATCATGTCACTCATGCTAGGAATTGAACTTAACGCGATCGTTTATAAGCGACCTTCACTACATGTGAATATAAGTTTGTAACGATTATGTGAAACTTCCTTATATTCTAGCAATGGATTTATGCATGCCAATTAAGTGTCGACCCTTAATTAACAAATACAAATAAGTTATCAATCAAATAGTTAAGCCAATTGCATTCACGATTCAAGAGTTCATAACTGGAATTTATCAAATTATATTGCACACTTAATCATGGCTTTGAAATCACCCCTAACCAAGAGGGGTTTAGCCACTCATATTTACAACAAAACGAAAGGAAATGAATTTAAACATTAGAAACAAAAGAAAGAAAACACCTAAACGCTCCAACGATCCAAGTTGGACAACAAGCACGTCCAAGCACTTTCCTTCCCTTCCTTTGCTACGGCACAAAGTGTTGGTGAGTGTTTGAAGGTTTGTTTGTATGCAGGAATGGATGTGAAGATGAATGGATGTGTTGGATGAAGGTTGTGTTGAAATGGGAGTGAATGATCTAACCAAGTATGAACTCAATTTATGTTACACACACTTCCTTTTATAGAGGAAGTGCAAGGCAAAGCATGGGTAAAATGGAGTGGTGTTGAAATGATTCAAAGGTGAAAGTGAAGTGATGATTGATGCAAGAATTAAACATGGATGGAGTGCATGGCAAAGGTTTGTTATGGTACAAGGAACCCTTAATTTGTGTCCTAAAATGCATAGGAAACCTTCAATGTTGCTGGAACTTAGGGACATTTAGGATTTAGGAAAGATCAAACCAAAATAGGAAACCTTGGCTTAACTTTCCTACTTCAAGTAGGAATCCTCATCTTTAGGTCTTCAATTTCGTCAATTCCTTTAGTTCCAAGCATGTGATATTTATTCCAAACCCAAAATTGCTCCAAAAGGCTCCAAAATGCACATTTTTGCATACTTTGTCCTTAGAACCTGAAATTGCACAAAAATGACTTTAAACACTAAAACTACTAAGGAATAACAACATAAATGCATGAGAACAAGCTAACTCAGTCGCATAAATATGCTCCTATCATTCCTCATTTTTCCTTTGTTTGAACATAAGTTGGTGTACTCCAGCTGTAAAAGGGAATGTTTCCACCTACATGAAAGCCGTAAGCACATGGTCATTACTTTTGCTTCCTTTTCCACTGACCTCTTTGTTGCTTTTGCTTTCCCATGTGCTATGGCAGAGAATGGGTTGAGGGCTCTGTCGGGATGGTGGACGTTGAAATGGAGATCAGAGAGCTGAACCACCCACGCAATTGAGTCGGGGCCTCCCTTGTCCAAAAAGATAGATTCCTTACACAACTTAAAACTAATGTCAACAACTTGCTTTACAGACATATGAGTAGAAAAGTATACCGGAAAAACATAGCTTTATTGATTGATATTTCAGAAACAAAACAAAGAGGTCTTTATATAGAGAAAGACCAAAGCAAACCCTAGACTAAAACCCTAAACCAAATCCTAAACAAACTCAAATACTTAATGGGCAAGTAACTAATCCTTGGCCCGCAAGATAACAACCTAAATTCCAAACTAAATTCCAACACCCCCCGTCAAACTCATGGCGGAACACAGTCATGAGTTTGCAAGGTAGATGTGGATACACGACTCCAAATTCTAGTGCCAATGCCGATGCGAAAAACACAACCATGCTAATGCCGATGCCAACTTCAAAACACAACCATGTCAATGCCGATGCCAACTTCAAACTACCATGTCAATGCCGATGCCAACTTCAAACTACCATGTCCAATCATCCTTCCTAGATTCAGATTTTGAATAAGTTCCAATATGCAAAACAGCAGTTGCTCCTCCTTTCTGTGGAAGTTCATGTTGCTGAGACAACTTAGGACATTGGGATTTCCAATGCCCTTTCCCTTTACAATAAGAACACTCATCCATAGCAACCCTACGAGACCTTGCTGCAGCAAATGCTGAAGTATTTGACGACGATGAAGAGAGCCTATGCGACTGCACACGAACCTCTTCTGCTTGTAACTCATTAAGAACAGAATCAACAGATGGAAGAGGAGTTCGATGAAGGATGGAGCTACGGAGCGTCTCGAACTCATCCCGAAGAGGCATTAGAAACTGAACAAGACGTTGTTCTTCTCTATATTTACAATAGAGCTTGACAATGCCGAGTTCTTCAGGCTCAGTCAATGCAAGTTGATCCCAAAGATTGGCCAGTTCATTGTAAAACACTTGAATACTCTTATCACCTTGCTGGATTGTACGAATCTCCATTTCCAATTGATACCTCTTAGCAAAATTGGCCTTGGTATACAACTTTGCCAAGTGATCCCAAACTTCCTTAGACGGTGAGAACTTAGCCAATTGCATTCCAATAGCCAAATCAACAGAATTATTAATCCAAGTAATAATCTTTGAATTATTCATCTCCCATGCAGCAAACAATTCAACATATTTTTCATCCTTGGGGTTATTCGGAATGGAAACCATTCCAGAAACATAGCCCCACAATCCTTTTCCAATAAAAAAATTCTTCATCACATACGCCCAATACACATAATTATTTCCATTCAATTTCACACCAATAGCTTGTAAGGAATCGTCCTTTGCAGATGCCATGACAATACTGAGGAACAAGAAACACGATACCTGGTGAAGATGCAGATCACAGGTGCAGATGCGACTGATGCAAACTGATGCAGATGCAAAGATGCAGATTGATGCAGACTGAAGCGGTGCGGCAGATGGTGGGTGCGGTGTAGCGGTGGTCCAGTTGGCTGCGATAATTGCAGCGATCTGAGCAGATGCAAATTCAAGTCGGCGCAGCAGGTTGTAGTCGGACGTGTCCAGTGGTGCAGGGTGATCCGGTGCTGGTGATGCGGTCCAGATGCAGATGCAAATATCAACGGACTGATGCAGATGCAGACTGATGCAACAATCAAAGTACGAGCGACTGATGCGGAATCAAAGTGGCTGTGTTGTTGGGCTAATTCTGGCAGACAGCATGGTGGTGGTTCCCGAGATACCGACCTTGCTCTGATACCAAGTAGAAAAGTATACCGGAAAAACATAGCTTTATTGATTGATATTTCAGAAACCAAAACAAAGAGGTCTTTATATAGAGAAAGACCAAAGCAAACCCTAGACTAAAACCCTAAACCAAATCCTAAACAAACTCAAATACTTAATGGGCAAGTAACTAATCCTTGGCCCGCAAGATAACAACCTAAATTCCAAACTAAATTCCAACAATATGGACACAAGAAGCCAGCATAGGCCCTGCACCGACTGTACTCCCATGTGATAGCAGAAGAAAACCTTGCAGGGTATTGAAGTAGGAAACCATGTTTTCTTCAAGTGCTCTAACTTGCGGTGTTTCTCCTCCGGTCCAAAGCATCCAAAAATGGTGGCTTGTTTGGAGACTTGATCGCCCATCTTTGTGACCTCCACCCAGCTCACCTTCTCAAGTTTTGAAGGTGCAGTTTGATCCAACACCTGGAAGGTCTCGTGGACGGTGTTGAGGTGGTGATTGAGAGTTCGAGTCAGTTGGTCACTCTCGGCTCGGCCCATCGCTCGGCGTTTGACGGAAGGAATTGCAGCTGCAGCAGTGGCGTTTGACGAGGGACTCGGCCCACTGTCCATCACTCGGATTTTTTTTTACTATTTTTCCACGACTGGCAATGAAGTGAGAGATGGCCTTAAACGACGTCGGGTTGAGGAGCTTTGCCATTTGGGTATTTGCGCACGCGTTTGAGATGGCCTGCGTCGGCTTGCGGTGGAGGCCGGATGAGGCTTGCAACGTACACCGTGGTTAGGTGCAGAACATTAATTCTTCTGGAGGCTTCCTCTCACCAATCCACATGACCTTCCTTCTCTGATGACCCAGAAACAAAAGCATTCTCTTCACAGGACCCATCAGCTGGAGAAGCATTCTTTTCAGCCTTCTTTCTCTTCCTAACTCCTCTCACATGACCCATCAGCGCACAACCCATAACCACTAAATCGAATCAAAACCCAGAAACTCTCCAGCTCCAAACAACAGGAAGAAGTGATGAGAGAGAATTTCCCAAAGTCTGCTACGGTGTAGGCTGTGTATTCGCCCATCAGCTCCCAGATGAGAGAGAATTTCCACGTCAAGCGGCTGAAGCTGAAGCCCCTCCTGGACGGCGTCGTTGTCGGCATGCACCTCAGGACATGGTGGGGGTATTCGGTGAAAGCTGAGCAGTGGATCCGCCGAGTGAACCGGATGGCTTACTGCTGCTTGTTGTGGTGGCGCCGTTGATGGGTTTGCCGGATCCATCGTTTTTCTTGACGGAAATGGAGTTGGGAAATGGGGATTAGGAGAGGAATTACAAGGTCGAATAAGTGTTGACGGGAGTCAGAATTTTGGTGAAGCACGATTGTTGATGATGAGGAGAGACAGAGAGCAGCGAGATGGATATAGGTATGGTTGGATTTTCAGGTAATCATTTAGGCTATTTAGTTGAAATGGAGGATGAATAATTGGATCAGAAAAGAGTGGGAGGAAGAGTGTATGGGTTTTGCAATGACTGTGTAGGTGTTTGGTTTTTGGGTTTCTATAGATTCACGGTGGAGGTAAAAAAATGAAAGAAAACCGACATAGTTTTTCGTGTCGATTTCCACATACAGCGTCAAATGTTGATGCACAAAACCGGAGGTCTTGGAACAACGTAAATCCGACCGTGAATCTGCAAGTAATGTAAATGACACAAGATGTATCGTGGTTCACCCCAAGGTTTGGGCTACGTCCACACTGATTATGTATTGTATTTCTCTGAGAAGTGAGGGAGAGAGCGTGAGAGCTTTGCTCTAGATAGGAGGGACTTAGGGTTTGTGAGGGTGAGGAGGCCATTTTATAGAATAATGGCTCCTCCCCTAATTATATATTTGCTAATTTCTTTATTACATAATTACATTTAAGTTCCCCGAGTATTTATACAAGATCTAAATACGAGGCCCGAAATATAATATAAACAAACACAAACCTCGGGTGCAGGAATAAACACTCTTTAACATCTTGAGCTACTTGCATATCTTACTGAGATTACATTGAGCTTAATAAGTTTCAATTTATATCTTAATCTTCTTGTGTTACTTACTGCGGTAAGAATGAAGTTTCATGAGAAGGAAGAGACAATGTTTGGTATAAGGAATCTTTAGATAACCCGAAATCAAAGATACCGCAGTTTTTGTTTATAATAATCTTGTTTTGATGATCGCTGCCCGGCGTATGCTTGTAAAACTGTTCAAAAGAAAAATAAACGTAACGCTGACATATGAAATTATAATCTGGGTACTTGGGACCTGTTCTTTAGCATATACTGGTTGGTTTTAATGTTTGAGCTCTTGCTCAGCTGGTGTTAGTGTTGATCAGTTCAGACTTGAGACTGCAGAGACGGACATAGTTGCTTTGTCTAACTGGTTTAAAGCGTCTCGTGTAAGTAGCTGGTTTGAGAGGGACATCATCTGCTTGAGTACATAGTCTGATTATATCTCGTGCAGGTACATAAGAGCTGACCCTTTTCGGGTGGCTTCTAATTTTTTGTTTGTGGAAAAAGTTATTTAGTATGGTCAATGAAAAGGGAAGCTCAGTGAATGATTCTTTTGTGAAACCAGAAGGCAGTTGGCAGAGTTTGATAAACTCATTCCTGGGTCAGATGGTTCCAAGAAGTCAGGGGCAGCAGATGGAAGGAAGAGGGCATTCCGACTTCTATAGAAATACAAGCGAGGAGTTGATCCTGAGATCTTATATGGAAAGCTCGGTTGCAACGCCTCTACCGACCATGGAGATGCTTGGTTTTAAGAATTTGTCTCAAAACTTTCGTACAGATAGCGAGGAACTCTTCAAAAGCTGGCTTACAACTGGAGAGGCAAGAAGCCGTGTTATTCCTATCCTAAATATTCATTTACTTGTTTTTCTTGTTGAAAGCTTGATCATTCATTGAATGTCCAATAGAACATCTATCTAGGTTTGAGTCAGTTAAAATGGCTCGTAATTCGCATTCAAATACCATTCATTCCATATGAACGCGATTCAATGTCTCTCTCTTATGGTTCAATATTTGTTTTTCCCTATCAGTTATTACTCTCTTTGATAACTCCACAATCTGATGCTCAAATAATTGTTTCACATAAGATAAGATATACAAAATCCATTCGAAGCTGGATAATATGCACATGTGGATTCTGCTCCATCCCTTTCCTGATTGTCTTTTTTGTTTGATTGACATGTAACTTTTTCCAGACCAATTGCTACAATTCATCAAGCATTGCACATCGTACCCGATCACGGATGTAAGTAGTTTGCAGTTTGAGCAACCCTTAAATGGAAATCATGTGCTACGCCTTAAAAACGTTGTTATTTTCCAGACCGTATAGTTTTTTTTACCCTCAGACTTCCGGATCTTTGATCTTCATGGCTTTCTTATTATAAGCTCATAATTGCTTTGTACATCACAGGATATCTACCGAAATAGCTAGCTTGTCGTCGGGTCAGCAACATGTCGGTATTCTTCAAAAGAAAAGAAGCAATGATTGTTTATATCCACCAATTAATACCATGCCTGATGAAATCTCAGGTGACAACAATCAGAGTTCAATCAGGTGGCTACTGCTCTCTTCTAATAAGCTGTCTTGTAGCATATATGATTTTATTTACACGGTGACGATAACATTTGGTCTCAATTTTTCAGGCATGGTGTTGAACGAGGAATGCAGGCTAGCGAGCTATACTTGGCTAAGGCATGTTAATATTGATTCGTTTCAGGATTCGTTTCAAGGAAGCTTCATCTTGTATCTAATATTTTACTGTCAAAGCAGGCCTGGTTTCACAGTTCTCAACCAATGACAAGAAGCCGATCCTCTGAATTGCGGTAATTTTTACACACTTGTTAATAGATAATAACAGCAGAATTTCTGTTAAACTGTCTGGTGGATGCAGTCCTTAATTCATTCTACATCGTATTTAATTTATTTTTTTCTCATTTACTTGTATGGAGGGCACATGTCATCATCTCATTTCATTTAATGAGTATATACTACAATGCAGAAGGAGGTATGTCGCCATGCAAAACGCTCAAATGCCAGGAGATCTGGAAGTGATGCAGACTGCTTCAGGGAATAGCAATCTAGCAAAACAGGATTTTGCGTTTTCAAATGGTTTCAATGACCCTTCTATTTGTGTGGTCACCAACCAATTGGCGACCTTCATTTCTCCATCCAATTCATCATCGTCCACTTTCAACACCCCACAAATGAGTGAATTGGATAAAGTTTCATCTGTGGTGAGCATGCTAAAGGGTACCTTGGAGCTCAAAAAGCTTAGCAATCAGATTGAGAAAGAAGGTGTGGATGACGATAGCTCCAACGGACGTTTCTCTGTTCAAGAAGGTATCGTCAACATCGGTTTTGATCAAGGGAAAAGGGATCAAATTCATGAAATGGCAGCAGGAACATTTCAGGAAGTATCTACTATCCAAGTTAACGATCATAGAATTAAACAAAATGTTGAAGGTTCACTGGATCTTGAGATGGAAGGTTTTGTAAATATCACAAACCCGAATCCCATAAGCAGGAATTCTCAAGAACCTTCCCAAAGTGAATCATCTGCTGCTGCACCACTAGTTTCATCTGGTTTTGATGCATGTGACGGTCCCAGCAATTCAAGTCAAACGCTGAGCATTTGTGAAAGTTCAATCAAACGAGCTGGAAGCTCTAGAGCCAAAGGTGATCCTTTTTTAGTCAGTGTTCCCTTCCTATGAAAGTTGTATTGCAGACTGATATTGGTGACCTTTAGTTTTAGAAGCCTTTGAGTTATCTTATGCAAGTTTTGTTGACAGATAACTAACATACAAAATAAAATCGATTAGCCCAAGATACGCAATTACCATCACGATACATCTTAAAATTGTGAAAGAACCATGATAAGAACTATCTTTTTGTTTCCATTTACCAGAGTAAATGAAAATTTATACAAAATTAAAAAAGACTCGGCACAAAATGTAATTGTATGCCTGTGCAGACGTTTCAGATACACACCTTTCTTTCTCCTTTGGTGATTAAAAACGTTTTTGAAGACATATTGGCAGTACTAACAAAAGTTAATACTGGTTAGCATCTAGTCAGTGTTTCATTTAACTAAGGTATATATCTTGTTGGGAAACTGCAGATTTCAGAGAACCGATAATTAGAAATTTGAAAGATGATCAAAAGGTAAGACTCTACTCTTTGATATTGAGTATAGCATGTTATTATGAAAGCTTCTAAAACATTTACCAGGTTTCATTTTTCTTTGATCTTTAACTTGCCATATTCCACAGAGTGGGAAACGTTTAGACCGCTATGGATCAGTGACATCAGCTGTTTCAGGTATCCAATTATGACTAAAACTTCAGCATAATGAGTTATGGCTTTCATTTCAATATTACCTCTATAAATAAATTAAACCAGAATGTTCTTGTTTCTTAAAGCATACTTCTGAGTTGGACTTTACGAGCATATGCTCATGTGTGTTTGTAAAAAAAAATTAGAATGGAATGTACTCTACTTGATGGGAGAAGAAAAACCAAACTCTTTACTTATGATGTGCACAAAATATAACGGAAGGTTCTTATGTTCGAGGTGGAAAACTAGAAAGCCTTAGGACTTACCTGACATTGATGCTTCTTTAGCTTGAATAAAGATATAATTCTCCATTCTGTTGCCCCGTATAAGTGTCTCGAACGCCTTTTCTTTCTGTCACTACATCCTCATCTTGATAATTATCCGCAGTTGAAGAAATTCTGTTAAAGTAAAAAACGTTACTGTATTTTTTCCCCTCATGGTATTCTACTTTCTAACAAAGAAAAATGTTATGCAGTGGACAAGGAGGATGCAACAAAAAAACGCAGGGTGGATAGGTCACGGAAGTAAGTACGGCGATACCTACAATGGGGGATAGTATTGTCTTCCCCCGAAAAAACCTCTCTTCTTCGAATTTGAGATCTTCTTTTCTTTATTTCCATATTCTTTTTAACAAATGGGAGTAGATTGAGTTAATTGGCTATCTATTGAATCTTAATTCCAGTCTTTCCTTAATGGTGAATGCTCATATATGAGTTAAAGATAAGGGGATTGATTTACACACACGGGCACACACAGATAAGACTGCGCAAAAAAAAAAAAAAAAAAAAAAAAACCACTAGTATGCACATCTCACATACTGTCTGACATCAGATTGATTGTATCGAAGATTGTAACTTTTATTAGGAATTCTAGGAAGAGAAGTTGAGGAGGATTTTATGTTAAAATCAACCCAAGCTGAGCAGGTTCAACTGATGCCAGAACACATCTTTGTCGGCAACATGAAGCAATAGAAATTATCTAGAAGGTGCTACATGTCTTTTAGGGATGAGAAGGTTATATTTACGTTAAGTTTCTTGCTGATGTAGAATGGCGGAGGCAAAGGAAAGGAACTCAACTCCAGTAATTCCATCTGATATACAATCTGTCTTGAAGCGGTGTGAAAATCTTGAAAAGGAAGTGCGATCACTCAAACTTAACTTGTCCTTCATGAATAGGTAATGGAACAAACTAGCTTTCATTTACTCAGAATTTTCTACTTTGACGTTTCCACGTATCAATTTTTTTTTCCTTTCACTCAAGTCACATATGCATACAACCGCTGAATATTCATCTCTAAGATGAAACGGTGCGGTTGTTTGCTAAAGAACATAAACTTTCTAGTTGTATTGGACAATGATGTCTACAATCAATCAAGAAACTTGTTGTGCAATAGAGCTTTTAACTAGCTTCTGTGAATAGTTTTGTTGGTCCGAAACTTAAGCCTCTTGGTGAAGTGCTAGAGCTAGTAAATTGTTGAGAAAAGTATTTGGCAAGTATTGGCAGTTAGATCAAATCAACTGGCAGGGTCTTTTTTCAGAGCACGGAAGCTTTTGGTTTGACTGCTAGAAATGCGCCTTGACGTTCTACCTGAAAAATTATTGATTATCTAAGTCTTACATTGTTTCAGGAAGGATTCTGAGCAGACTAAGCAGATAGAGGAGCTCCAGAAGCAAAATGAAGATCTAATGGATGAAAAAGAACAGCTCGTAGAGGAGATAGAGAGAGTCCTTTCAGAAACTGGAAAGATTTGAAACTCTCATTAACTTCTGGTTTCCGGTTAACTTCAGGATCTTGAGAATTTATAAAGGTTCAATTGAGGACAAAGTAAACAGGCAAATCTTAATGCTTGATGCACAAGTAAATCATGGTTTGGTTTTTTTTTTTTCTTCTAAAACTAGAGTTTGTGAATGTCATACTATCAGTTGACCAGTAAATTCTACAATGTCTGGTAAATTCTACCAGTTAACCAGTGAATGTCAAATGGAGGTTACTTCTTATACAATGATATTCTGGTAAGGCGAGGCTGGATTTGGCTAAGTAGCAATAACCTAATTACGACTACTTATCGAATTCAATATAAATGTTAAATCTTTCTCGTCATATGTGAGTCGAACTTGAGACTCATCACGTGCAGTACATATGCTTTTAATTAATAACTTATAACTAGTTCTTTGTGGCATCTGTCAGGTGCTTGAGTTGATTTCGTCCAAACCACTTTAAAACCATAAAAAGTTAACGAATAAACTTAACTTAAACTCCATAATCCTACACTAATAAGTTAAACAAAAATGCTAACGGGCCTCTTTCAAAGTGGGACTCTCCATGGATTACCCCACAATTTAATGTCAATTTTCATGCCAACATTATAGAATATTGTGCAAAAAATATAAGGTGGTAGTGAGTCTTGGATAAGATATGAAATTTCTCAAGCAATGCATGCATGCAAGACTTGAGACTTAAAACTCTATCAGATGACGAGTCTACTTGAGTATTTACATACTTAAGGGGAGTGTTATAGATACTATATTAAAGTGTGATTGTGTAAATCCTAGATATATTTGATTACTAGTTATTCTTTCCCTACTAGTATTGTATTTCCTTGGAGGACAAGGATTTTTCTCCTCTTTGCTACTACAAATAAAGGCACTGTGTAGGGGGAATAACACACCCTAACAACATCTCATACTTTCTTCACACCCTCTCTCTCTCTCTCTCTCTCTCTCTCTCTCTCTCTCTCTCTCTCTCTCTCTCTCTCTCTCTCTCTCTCTCTCTCTCTCTCTCTCTCTCTGCCGCGTCCCCTCTCTCTCCTTGTAAGATAAATTGGCCACAACATCATTAAGAATTAGATTTGGTTACTAGTTTATTATTTCCCTACTAGGATTGTATTTACTTGGATGACAAGTAATTTTTCTCATCCTTACTACTATAAATAAAGGCACGGGAAATAACAACATCTCAATTCTAATACACACATAGAAATCCCTACACTTTCTCCACTCCCTCCTTGTCGTGCTCTCTCTCCCTTGTCAGATAAATTGACCACAACAAATTTATGACTTTTGACAAGCATTATTCAATTTTTACTTTGTTGAAGAGGTCACAAAAATGAAAAAAAAAAGGAAGCATTATATTAATATTTTTTATTCCAAGTGATATTACCATGCTTTATGTATAAGAATTATGCTCATGAGCTTTTTTTTTTTTTTTTTTTGAACAAAATACTTCATGAGTTTGATACTTAGAGCACCTCCAAAAAGAGGTGTCAAAAATTTAACATAAAATTTAAATTTGACAGCCTATGTGGTATTTTGACATTTTTTAAAGTTTTACTCTCAACCCGATATGTCAAATTAAATTATTATTTTATTATATTAAAAAATAAATGATTAAACCAATAAAAAATTAATTAAAGAAATTTAATACTTACTAAATCAAGACCGTTCATCAAATGAACCAAAGAGGCATGAATGCACGGGTCAACACCAGCATTCATTATAATAATGATTAAACAAATAAAAAAGATTAATAATTAATTTTGAAGCTATTATCAAATTTGACAACAACCTTTTTACTGCCAATTCAGATCATCGCCACATAGGAGTTGATATTTCGGTTGGAGAATATTAGTGTGATCTTTTTTTTTACTATTATAGCATATGTGAATATCTTGACATCTTCTTTGGAGATGCTCTTACAACACTATTGCTATACTAATTTAGTATATTAATATAACATTAAAATATTATATTAGAGATGCAAATTTGTTGGATAAATAAATAAAATGCAAGAAGCCCTTTACCATAGTGGTGGAAAGATGTTAAGTCTTTGTATGAGGATGTGGGTTCAAATCTCATCGATAGCTAATCTAACAAAATTTATCGTTTGAAAAAATAAATAAATTGTTGCAGTCCTATTAGATTAGGAATGTGATTGTGTAAATCCTAACATATCTAGGATATCCTTATGGGATTTTACCATCTCTTATACTATATATTATCCTATTAGAGTTGTAATCCTATTAGGGTAAGAAATTAACCTTCCCTACTACTATAAATAAAGGCACAATGGGGTGGAATAGAGCACATATTACAATTACACATCTCTCTCTTCTCTCTCTATGCCGCACCCCTTCTCTCTTTCTGATCTCCATAATTGTTTAGTAAATTATGCCTACAACACGCTATTAACATGTTGTGCTAAAGAGAGTTTGATTTTCAATCAGGGAGTATTACGTTTTAATCATTATTTTTATGATTATTTATTATTTTATTAAATTGATCTACATGCTATTGATTCAATTTAAATTTTCTATGTTGAACATGATACAACACATTAGAGATGCAGTTCCAACTTTTAGAGAAGGATCTTCTACAAATTCACAAATTCAAAAGCTCAGTTGTTTTTTGCCAATCAAGTTTTTTTAAAATAAATTAAGATATTTGAAACGACCGTGAAGCATGAAAACATTTCCCATGATGCATAAACTCTCTACATTTATATTTTCCTTCCGATCTATATATTGTATATGTTCATATATTTGTCAATATATATATACACACACACACACGTTCATGCATTACACAATTATAAAATTGCTATGAGGAATTTGTGAGTCAAAGAAAGAAAGAAAATAGAAGCATGATTTTTTTAATTATTTTTGGGTTCTGAAAACCCTAATACTAAAAATCTGGAAAAAAAAAAGAAAAAAAAAAGAAAAGAAAAGGGAAAACTTGGTTGAGTCGCGACTTGCAGTCGCGATGCCAAGCCGAGTCGGTTGCTAGAGCCACGCACTCGCGCCGAGTTGCAAAACCGAGCCGCGCCAAGTAGCCAAGCTGTGAGCAACTACCCAACCCAACCCGAGGTCACAAAAAACGACGGCGTTCTCCCGTCGTCCCCTCAATCGAACTAGACCGCCACCATTGACAACTTGAAGTCGTATTGTTTGGTGAGAACCATCGTCCTTGACGACAACCTAGGTTATCCCAGTCAAGAATCTTATCAGAATTCTTGAGATTCCATATGAATCTCTGAGTTATTGACCTCCTTGATGTTGAGAATTGTTCTCCGTCGAGATTTTTTAGGATTCTAGACGAACTCTGGCTTATCTTCCAGTTTGAAACCACGATGATTATGGTGGCGTCGTCGAGCTTCTCCGGCAACTCCCACACCCAGCTTCGATGGGCCTTTTCTAATGACACCCAAGCCCTTTTTCCGGGCTTGCTGCTCATTTGGCCCAAAGCCCAACTGGGCTTATTTTTCTCTTTTTCTTTGGCCCACTTACCTGCAGCTGGGCTGCTCATTTTCTTGGCCCATGACACTGCAGCATGCTACTTGTTTTTGCAGGTTAGCTTGCAGCTGTTGGGCTTTGCAAATTGGACAGCAGCCAGTAATCCAATGCTAGGCTGCTTTTTGTTCTCGATGTAAAGCCATATTTGGCTTGATTTTTTTATTCCAGCTTGCACCCATATGTTTTTTTATGCTTGATTTCATGGCCTTAACCACTTTTTTGGGCTTTTCTTTTGAATGGCCCACAAATCTAGCCCAAAATATGGCCTGAAACTTTATATTATTTTGCTTCTACGATCAACCCCAAATGATCTAGATCTATTGAATTAATTAAAAGTGACCAGCAGTCCATTAATCAGATGTGACATCCAAAATTATTGGCCTAGAGCCCACTTTTGGACATTAACGATTCAATATTTTATTTCTTTTCTTTGAACCGCTGACTCCCTTTCGTAGTCCTGAAGCACTCACACTTGAGTTCCTGAAGCAACCCAAATTCATTACACTTAGTTGTATATTGTATTATGTGTTCTTACAAGTACCTTCTTATGAACCAGAAGATTCATAACTAAACTCGAACCTGTAGTTTCGAATTTAGTGCCTTGGAAACCCGAAGCTTTCATAAAACACTACACCCATGAAAACCCAACGTTTTTCATGTACACCATGTCTTAGAACTTGAAATGTTCTAACTTTGATGCTTATGGATATCTTACTTCCATAGTACCTATCACAATATTGTTCCCTCAATTTAGTGGATTGTCGAACCGTAACAAGTTTGATTTCACTTATTTGGATATTTCTTAACAAAACCACTTTATGTGAATACAAGAAGTGAATCTCCACTTGAGTATCAAGAAGCTGAGAAACCATTGTAGCCAACAATGGCATGGAAAAGCTGAATAAGCCTTCGCCATGCTCTTCATTCGAAGACTTATGCTAAAGCATTACAAACAGAAGTACCTCACGAACGAGGATTCCATGGCTCTTTGGCTCGCTACTATGGACCGTCTGATCATGTGAGATATTGCCTGAAGCACACCATGATTACGTCCATCAAATTTTGACTAGAGAATACTTTTCTCGTGTTTTCTTGTTTCTAACTCGCTCCTGAGGCAGCAGTGTAGAAAATGGAAGTTTACCAAATTCTATGATTTGATTACTACCACAAACGTGAGAGAAAGGTATAGACCCAGCTTCGACTGAAGTATACCGAATGGTATAGACCCAGCTCGGCTTAAGTCTATCGAATGGCTCGACCTAGTTTGGTCAAGGCCTACCGAATGATGATTCCCAGTTTCAGTTGGGGCCCATCGAACAGTAGTGCTCTACTTTGGCAAAGGCCTACTGAACAGACCCCTCCAGCTTTGGCCGAAGCCTATTGAACCCAAGTTAGGGTTTGTCTCTTTCACAATCCAATTTTGAGTTTGTTTTTACGGTAGAATCAGGGTCTGCTAAGGTATGGCATCATGCCCGAAGCGTGATACTTGGCACCTAAGACCTAAAACTTCAAGAATAAAGGATAATATTCCCAAACCTCAACCCTGCAGAATCTACTTCCATCTTGATGGAATAGATCATTTGTTTTGCATCTGTTCGTGCCTCTACCAATGTCGTTGAGGAGTACCATTCTCGTAGTCAATATGTGAAACTAATTTTGCTCCACCGAACGTCGTTGGAAGAGCATAATTTTGACATAGACGTGGCCGAATCCCCTTAGTAAACCATTTACTTTGTGAACATTTTTCCAT